CAGGCACACCACATGTTTGGTTAGTTGGTGGTAATTAATCCCAGTAGCAGAATCTTTCAGTCTTTGTTTTTGCTCTTCTTGCTTGTTGTTTTTTTTTTAATCATAGCAAGTTATGAGATCCTGATTGAGGTAGCAGCACTTGTGCAACAGAAAACAGTTCTTATTAAATAATTTTAAGCTGGAGAGTGGTATAATGATATTTATGTTGTCACTCTGGCAGCAGAGTGGGATAGATTATTGAGGGGAAAACTTCAGGTAAAGAGACCAGTGAATAAGCTACAATAGTCATGAGACAATACGAACTCAAACTAGAGTTGTGACAGTGGGAGTAGAGAGTAGGGGGCAGTGCTGAAATGTAGTAGTTAAGGTGTCGAATTTGGTTCACTTGAGGACAGGACATGTGTCAGGTACTGAGATAGAAATTCAATGGGCAGGAGACTGGGAAAAAGTTAATCCAGATCCGAACTAGCAGGACATGAAGTATCCGAGGGAGAATCAGATTATAAAAAGAGCTTTTATATTATTTACCTCATTGAAATCTCTCACAAGGTTTTTGAAGTGGTTATTATCTCTATTTAACTGCTAGACAGATTCTGAACACAGGGAGTAAGCGACACATTCAAAATTAGACAGGTGGCAGAGGCAGGACTAAAACTCAGTTCTTCTGCTTTGAGGTTGACTGTCTTCTTCACTGCCCCATAATGTAGCAAAGCATAAATTTTATATTTACCCTTGATACAGACTTGGCTATATTTAGCTCAGAGGATCAAAGGATCCATAAGAAATCCAGGAAATGAATCACAAGACTGAGGACTGACATTGAAATCCAAGCTCATGAAGAATGAGGAGGATCATTGACAAAATCTTTTGTTTGAATGGTTTTGGTTAGGCTGTCACATGAACATTATAATTACTGGGATTCTGGAGACAGATAATGTGGATATCAGTGACCTAGCTGCAAATAAAGGCCTTGCTGCCCCTACAAAGCAGTTGATTCTTTGTTGGATTCATTTTGATGCAAACACGATGTATGTCTGGAAAACACTTGCCATGTCAATGTAATTTTAAATTGTCAAGCTTTTTTGGAATGCATTCATGGAGCGCATTAAATCGGCTATGGCTTTGGGAGATATAATTTTATATGTTATACTGCTCTACTCAAATGCCATCCTGCACTTCCCAGCAGTCTTCATTGGCTAATAATTCAATTATAAACACAATTCATTATTTTGATGTTAGATTAGAAAGCCTTTTGCACTGTCTTGAGCTATCTCCCCAGAGCAAATGGGGCAATTTATAAAAGGCCAAACCACAGGGTGGAGCGTTGAGAGTATGAAGCATCATATAAAATTTAAACATATTAAATGGAAATCTGCCTTACAGCAAGCTGCTTACCTGCAGCTCAGGGCAGCTAAACTTCCAAGATAAAGGCTGGTGCCTTTATTGACACCAAGAGAGGCTCATGCATTCTCCTTTCTTCTACTTCTTCACCTTGTTTTATAATTTGTTACCCTTAGTGCATTTCCTTTCCTCAGTTTTTTCCCTGTCGCCCAGTGAGCAGAGGTCACTCTAATTCTGTGAGTCCCTCAATGAGTCCTTTTGTGGATCCTGGGCCTGCTCTTTTCCAGGCTCAGCTGAAACCATGTGCTTCTATTTCCTTCTTTTTGTACCGTATGATCTTTATAGAGGGGTTATAAAAAGTGGGGCAGGGATATACATGGTGAAGTATCTACTGATGGATAGCATCAGAAATGGGTAGATGAGAACCACTCACTTGTGTGGGCACAGACAATTTTTGCCACTATTAATGAAATTTCTTCTGATCAATTGATTGAATGGTCTCCCTCTGCATTTTAAATCTCTGAAAATTTATTCATCATTATGGTATTTTACTGATATGAATGGGAAATGAAATTGCTCAGGTTAGTCCTGTTAACAGTCACTTGGTATTGAATTTCAGGTACTAAACCAAAGACATCTTCTACCAAATGTCACAATTCTAAGGCTATCTGGTCCAGCAAATCCTGATGGAGTCTTAATTTACTATCAGGGCCTGATGCCTCGATATTCCCATTTTATTCTAAATACATTCAATTCATTTTCTTTTCTATTTTTTTTTAAATTTTTACTCAGTTTAAACTTAAAAAAAAAGTTCGCCCGGTTCATTTTCTCAATTTTTCACATGAAGTCAATCTTAGGAGTACATAAGACCAATATTAAAGTCTCCCAGAAATGTAAAAGCATTTCTGGTTTGATTTTGATAATTACATCACAGTTTGTTTGTTTTATCTGAAATAATGACTTCTTGAAAGCTGTATAGGCTGTTACATATAAAATTTAAATAGTTTGTAAGAGGAAAAGTTTTTTTTTTTTTTTTTTGAGGAAGATGAGCCCTGAGCTATCATCCACTGCCAAGTCTCCTCTTTTTGCTGAGAAAGATTGGCCCTGAGATAACATCCATGCCCATCTTCCTCTATTTTATATATGGGACGCCTGCCACAGCATGGCTTGAAAAGCAATGCATAGGCCTGTGCCTGGGATCCAAACTAGTGAATCCCGGACCACCAAGGTGGAGTGCACGGACTTAACTGCTGTGCCACCAGCTAGCTCCGGAAAAGTTAATTTTTTAATATTTGGTATAATATTATCATTATAACAGAAAATTTCACTAACGGAAAAGTCAAATTGCTAACTTAAAAAGACATTAATCTTTTAATGTCAATAAGTTATTTTTATTTACTAGAGTCACTTAAAAAAAAAAAGATTAAATCTCCTTCTTAAAAAAAACCCCAGTAAATATAAGAAATAGAATCAAAACTATTTGGCAGCACTGTTTTGAATAATTATCTTTTCCTCTCTATTATAAGTAGTCACTGTTTTGTCATTTTTTTCAATTTACCCCTCTGTTCATTCAGCATTGTCTGAACACTGCCATCCCCTCCCTCACTTGATTTCTACAATGTCCTTCCAGAAAAAGAGAGTCAGGATTCAATGACAATGTGCCTCAAAGTAGTTATCTCCTTAATATTGCAGCCAGAGTGACAGTGGGATGATGTACTGAAAAGAGTGCTACATGGGGACCCTTAAAATCTGGTTTCAGTCACTAGTAAGCCTAATAAACTTGGCCTTCGTTTCTTCATTTGTAAAGTAAGAAGAGTTTTGTATGTTCTCCAATGCCTTCAAATCTATAAAATACTAAGTAAAAAAAATAACTACCAAGCCAGCCCTGATGGCCTAGTGATTAAAGTTTGGTGCACTCCACTTTGGCAGCCCATGTTTGGCTCCTGGGTGCAGACCCACACCACTCATTTGTCAGTAGCCATGCTGTGGCAGTGGCTCACATAGAAGAACTAGAAGGACTTACAACTAGAAGATACAACTATGTACCAGGGCTCTGGGGAGGAAAGAAAAATAAAGGAAGATTGGCAACAGATGTTAGTTCTGGGTGAATCTTTGCCAGCAAAAAAAAAAAAAAAAATTTTTAAATAAATAAACTACCTTAAACACAAATCATTAACAAATTAAATTAAATCAATGTTGATGTAAGAGAGTAAAACTGAAAGTTGGTTAAAGAAACAATTCCTTAACTTTCAGAATTAGATATTCTTAATCAACCACTTTTACTATTGTAACACTTATTTAAACTTGTTTATTTGGTAATTAATAGAATACTTGGAAAATAAACTAGTCAAAGTCATGCAATATGTATTTTTATATGTTAAAATATATTTTCTGTTATTTTTAAAAGCAAGTTAAAGTCTTCCAAGAGCTGAAGTAGTTCTAGTTGTTTGTCCTTTTAAAAATTAAATCATAGATTTGAATCCCCTACAACTTATTTTCTGTAATAAGAGTGGTCTGAAAGAATCACCATAGCTTCCAGAATAGCCTAATTTGCACCTATGAGAATCTCTAAATTTTTTTGTTGTATTTAGCAGCTCTATATTAATATATGCTTATTAAAATGATATTTTTGTATTATTGATATAACAAATATATTCTATCTGCATTGTGATTTTCCTACTTAAAGATACTATCCTTAGTCTTAAACTGTAAAAAAAATCATGACCTTTGTTAACTGCAATATGAGTAGCTTTCTCCCATCAGACCACGAGACAGAATACGTTCTTGATGAATCTTCTTCTAAACTAAGAAATGAGGCAAGTGCTAAGCCATCCCCCAGGAATCTTTACTTGATCTAGAATTTCCAAAACTTCCAAATGAAACTAGGAAAACAGTTTTCGTTCATAAAGAATACTCCGGATTCTTAGAGTTTACATATACAAAGACTGTTGGTGCAGAGTGGGCCGCCAGAGGCTTAAAAACTAGAACTAATTCTAAAAAATATATATGACAATTGAATTTGCAACATGCTATGGCATGACATTATTACTACTGTTAGCGTTGGAAAAGGAATTCAAAACTCTGATCATCCTCCAATATTGGAAGGGATAGCCTCTGATCAATTCCCTCAGAAATACTTCTTTAAAAGTCTTCTTCCCTCCATTGAACCCATGCCCTCTTTTGTAGTAATTTAAGACTTTTCCCCTTCTCAAATTAACAGATATACAGGAGGAAATTCATACTTATCATTAAGGTTCATTTTTGTTATACTTTACAGGTAAGGCATAAAGAAACAGAATTTTAGTATATTTCCTCCAAGGACAAAAAACTGAACTCGTTGTTTAACAACTCGGAAAATAAAGGATGTTTCAAAGGTAGGAATGAACTTCTTATCAACAACAAATTTCACTTAGTAAAGACAAACTATGCAATACATGCATGCTCATCTAGCAAGAAAAAAAAAAAGGGAGATAGGAACAATTTATTGATGAAGTGAACTAATACAAAATACATAAATTGCCCTTGCCTTTGGAACCGAGATTATAAATTCTTTTCATAGTTAACTAAGGTGTGATTAACATTTAAGTACAAAGGTTATTTAACATTTAAACACAAAGGTTTCTCCATGAGTTACTTTGTATTTATAGGATCCCTCTTACCAGCGTTGCTTTTGAAGCTGGGTTTTATGAAAGATGAGATGTTCAAGCACCTTATTCAACTGAGGACTGTTCTTCTGAACACAAGACCAGGCAGCAACACAGTGCCAGAGCAGGGGGTTAACTTCATATCCTCCTCGATTAAATTGCTTATGTTTCTGGAATTGAAGTACAAAAATATATCTGGGAAAGAGTTCTGTGACTTGAAAAAACATGAAAATAAATTTTAAATATACAAATTAAAATGCGTATTTTCTTACACTTCATGTTACATCAAGCAGAGCAATTTACTCAAGGATACTTTTCTAAGTATATATAGTCTAACCGAACGTAATGTCTTAACATATTTTCACATGGGTCCCTTGTGTTCAATGACATCAGTTCTACACTATAACAAAAATCCTGTATCCTCTAAACAACAACTATTAGACACAACTGTGCTTCTCAGACCTTATATGACTTCGTTTTCCCTGCCACCCGAGGTGGAGAGGATAAGGGAAAATTTGAACAATATCAAACTGCAAATTAGATTTTAAAATGTGGATTTCCACTTTAAGGACCAAAACATATGCCTAGCTGGACATGGTCAATGTCTGCTAAGTAACTAATTTAAAAGCCTGCAAATTCAGAAAACAAACAGCTGTTATTTGTTTGTTTTCCTTAAGAGTGCTTACTAACAGTTTCATAGATATAATTGGTCTACTAAAGTAATTGGTATAAAGAAACCTGATTTTATTGGTAGACAATGATAACAGCACTTTCATTGAACTGTTACCAACAACAAAGATTCAGATACATATCCTGTGATATGTACTCAAATTGCTAACTTGGATGATATTTTATTCTTTATGCTCAGAAGAAACACTGAAAGAGACTCCAAAGGGCTTTATAATTCTCATTTATTATACAAAACAACTTCAGGAAAACAATTTAAAGATAATTTTCATGTTGAGTACTCTTAACATAGAAGGCCAGAGGTTCATACATAAATTTTAAACTAAGACATTTTAAGTTTCTAGTAAACTGTTTAGTTAAGTCCCACAGATGGGTATTGATTACTGCACGTCGGGAACTCAGCCGATTCTGGAGATAAAGGCATGAGTAAGATGAAGTCTCTGCACAGGCTACTGACTGGGGAACAATCTCAGAAAAGCAAATGGAAACGAGTCAGTGTTTAGAATGTTAGACTATTCCATAGAAAAGCTTTATTCTCAAACAATGAAAGGCATCCGACTAAGATGTGCTGACTTCAGTAAATGCACATATTTTGTCCAAATAACTCAGTTTTCTGCTTTGTGGTAGAGCCCACCCCAAAAGTGGAACCCATATAAATGAAATTCTTTTCTTAAATTGCTCTAGAAGTCTCAGACTGGATGTCGGACAGCCCTCGTGTTACAAATTTATTCTGAATAAATATTTAAGTAGATATGTTTTGAAACTTGTGGATGGCTTGACTAATTAATTTAAAACAATCAATACTCTTTTGTTTTTTTAAATCATGTACATTGCATGGCTACACAGACTATTTGGTTAGGCCAAAAATTCCTGTTAGCAATCTTAGGCACCATCACCAGAGAAAATTCCGGAAAGCACTTGGTAAAGAAATGATCGGGATTTAGACACTAAACAAGGTTTAAGTTTTATTTTCAATTTTCTATGATACTATTTTTACTCATCATTGAGACAGAAAAAAGCGGCATCTGATTTCTGGAACTGATTTGACATCAATATTATTACAAGCCAGTCTGACGTTCATAGCCAGGTCATTTTGTTCTCCTGTTGGTTATCACAGAATATCAACCTCAGACAATATTACTCTGAGAACATGATAAATAAATAAATAAAGCACTTGATAATTTTTTCTAAGCCCCAGCAAAAAGGCACTGTTCCACCTACAAAATACCCATCTGAACTGCCCCTGCTTTCTGACAGCAGCAAATCTAGAGAGAACTGTTTCTTTACAGCCTCCCCATCACCCACACCAAGTCCTAATCCTATAACAAATTCATTCTCACTCCCTCTGACTGAGACAGCCCATGGTTCCCCCGGTGTGTGTTCTCTCTCTGCAACAAATAATGAAATCAATTTGCCTAAACTCATGCGTGTTCCTGGTGGCCTTTGGCTGAAAGGCATTGGCGTTATCAAGAGCAAATGAAACTGCCACACCTGTGAATTTTCCAGATAAGTGAGGCTTATAACTTATCCTCACGGATTTTATGTATTTCAAGCATTTGCATGGAAATCTTGCTAAAGTTTCTTCCCTTTTTTTTTTAAAGAAAAAATACATTTGCAAACTTGAATGAATTAATATAATAACGACGATTATGTGATTTAATACAATCATCATGCGCATCATCCTTGTGGGAGACCTTGAGGGAGCAGTGCTCTGGGAGCCATTAGGTGGTGTAGAGCTCTTTGCCTTTACACTAAATCGGTCCCACTCAAGGCGTAGTTGGCAGACAAGTGACATCTGCAAACTGTTAACTAGAGTACAGAAATAAGGAATATATATTTAGAAACTTTTGTAACAATATGAGAGTCAATTTTATATATTTTAAGTTTAATAAGAAAAAATTAATGCTTGTATTTTTAAGTCTTTTATTTTCAGTAATTCATTATTATTGTAGATCACAAAATTATCAGTCTGTGATGGTTTGGAAATTAAAAAAAAAAAAGTTGACAGAGATCTTTTACCACAGATAGTTTCAAAAGCACTAAGCGCTGCATTAAATGACTCCCTGAGAAATTTTTTTTTCCCCTTTCTTTCTCCTCTCCCTTCCCCCTCCCTTCCTTCCTTCCTTCCTTTTTTTTTTTTTTGGCTTTATGACCACTTCCTATAGTTCCTTCATTTCCCCCGTTGCTGCTTTGGGCTATGTTGGTTGCAAATTAGCCCCCGGTACACAGAAGACAAGGAGAGATCCAAGAAAGAGGCAGAGCACTCCAGACAGGTAGGTGGCAGGTTTGATAAGCAAAAGAACTTACTTACGCGGCTTGTCTGGGGAGGCCATTAAATGAGTACATCTCCACACTTGCCCACCAGAATCCTGAAAGTTTATACAGAGGCCTTAACTGGATTCAGTTACGTATACTGCCCACACAGTCTCAACAACACATTGCCATCTCAAGGCTGTGTCCTTGAAAACAGCTCTGGCTGGGGTTGACAGAGGACAGCAGAGAGGGTAAGGAACTTCTGATTGCCCTGTATCAGTTTATAGGTCAACCGGTGGTCACGTCCTCTCCATCACATTCTCCAATAGGCTAGTGGCAGCTTGTACAATGCCTACTTTGAGAAGCCCATCTAGAAAAGTGTTGTTAATCTACTGTTGGCTGAGAATTCAGATAACCACATCAGCTTGAATTTTATGCAAACTGTAGGGACCAGGGTCTCTTTTACAACAGAAATGAACTTTGAAGCCCTGGCTCTATTTTGGCTGCTCAGAGACAGCTTTCTGAGTTTCACCCTTGTTTTCTGTCATTTGGGAGTTGGTTGACATTGCCATGAAAGGACCTCTCAAAACAAATGTGTTACTTGGATAACAGGACATGAATCATAGGATAATGCTCCTAATTTTAAAGAACCTCTGTCTCAGTCTAACCCAATTCCTAATAACCATTTACAATTACAGTACAGCACAAAATGTTCCGAAGTTAGATAATGCCTTTGACCTACCGAGTACTTAAATCATTAGAAGATGAGATTGTTAATCATATTTGAATATAAACTCCATGTGATTCTTAGTTTTCAGAAAACTACTGTCCTAACTACTTTAGGACCGATGTGACTATTTTGTAAAGGGTCTCATTTTTAGTTGAGTTTAAATCTACCTTCTCCAAAGAACTACGTTATTATTATCATATGACAACCGTGCTTAGCAAATTCAGCAAAGGAGAGAGTGGAAGACTCAGTGCAGTGTTCTGGCTCTGCAATCCACAGAGCTAATTAAATTGTACCATTTGTCAAAGTCAATGGAAATCCTGTGTCTAGATAGCTTAAAATGACGTTAAAAAGAGAAATGAGCTCCCTCAGCAGGGAAAGGAAATTTCCCATTCTTAACTAGAACCAACACCCATATTGTGTGTATCCTAACGTGTACATCCTACAGAATTTTTTTCAGCAATTTTATAGCAGCACTTTGAAAACAAGTTAAATAATTATGCTTATACTCCAGTGCTTGTATTAAAAATAAATTATTTTGCAGTAGCCAAAATATGCTGTTACAGACCTTTTAGCATAACTGGAGGATAAGGACTGTAGCAATAAATCCACAAATCCTCTATTATAGCCTACTAATAATAAAGAAGGAAGAGCAGATGAATACAAATGCACCTTTTTTGTTTGTTTTATTTTTGTTTTTGCTGAGGAAGATTTGCCCTGAGCTAACATCTGTTGTCAATCTTCCTCTTTTTGTATGTGAGTTGCCATCAGAGCATGGCCCCTGACAGTTGAGTGGTGTAGGTCTACACCTGGGAACCAAACCTGGGCTGCTGAAGTGGAGCATGTCGAACTTAACCACTAGGCCACCAGGGCTGACCCAGAAATGTATCTTTTATATTCCCATTTTTCTCTCTTTTTTCCCCCTTCTCCTTCCAGAAGGTGTGAGAGGGTATTGAAGGGGTACATCCTCATCTAAATTGGAGAGGCTGCCTTAGATTAGGTTATCCTGGAGACAGTGGGCTGAAACTGAGGAACGTTGAAACAGGCCGTGAAGAACTGAATCCGTTGCCTGAATCAGCCATTTTAGCAGCACTGTGACTATACTACCTTTGATATTCTTTACACTATGGAGTAACGGGAGGAGAAAAAGGAAGACAACAAATCTGATACGCTGAAATCCGTTATAATCCTCTCACGGAATCGCACACACAGAGCTAAAATAGATCTGAGAAAAGATTGAAACTGTGGCCTTTGTTCTAAAAAGTGAAAAGGGCACTGAGACTTACTAACTTGTGCCACTCTAAGCAGATACGTTCTTTTCCTATGTTGACATTTTTGCCCCTTCCAGTTCAGGCCACGGGGTGCAGTAGTAAATTTCCATTTCCTAGCTGTGTGTGTGCACCAAGGGTGACAAAAACAGACTGATTCTTAAAGAGAAGCAAAATCAACATTGAAGGCCTTCTGACTCACGACCAAACACTCATGTTCTCAAGATTCCATGGTATCTTATTTGTTTAAAGGAAAAACACTCAAGTCACTACATTAAGTTAAGCACAATTAACTACAGAGTTAACCACAATTATTTAGTCAGCATAATCACATCCCTAGGTGAAAATTTATTATATTTAACTGTCTAAGTTAAAGTGAGTTCCTAAATATATTTGTCAATAATCATTATTTACATTTGCATGGCACTTAATCATTTATAAGGCACATGCTTTTTTGCAATCTTCGCAACAACTTTTTTAAAGAGAAACACATGGGGATTTGGAGAGCTTAGTGGACCTCTCCTGGATCACACAGTCAGTTGGTGAGCAGGTCTTTCTTTTTTATGATCAGTGCTCTTTCTGCTGCTCAATGTTTTAGATTCTATATTTACTGTTAAAATATTTTCAAACTTAAAAACAAGATCCCTTTTATGTATGAAACAATTTGTGTTCATTAGTAGTTATACCAAAAGTTTCAAATTACTTAGTATATGTCACTCTTTATATAAATGGTTCATCAAGTAATGAGCCAAAGACAAAACACCAATGTCTAGAAAGATTACAAATAGATGTGATTAAATGTTTTTCCTTATATACTTAAATCTTAGTTAGTTTTAGAAAGTGCCCAAGGGAAGCATGGAGAAACTGTGAGGCAAATCTTAGATAAAACTATTTGAAAAGAGAACCTTCCTTAAAAGTCCTTAGTTGTTTCAACTTGCATTATGTTAAACATATTTTTCCTTCTTAAGAAATTACTACAAAAACAAATATTCTATTTGTAAACTATAAAATAGCAATTATGTGTAACAAAAATAAATAAAAGAGTCAAGGTTTCGAGGTGTTCCTCGCTTTCTTTTGAAATGTAAGTGGGAAAAGGAAATAAAGATACTATGAACTCCAGAGACGGAAGTTCGCCTTTTGCAGTACATCAGCTGTAAGGTATATGAACAGTTATATGGCTCACTGTGGTCATGTTTGCATAATAAATAGTTTATTACATATCAAGGAATTACCTAATTGGGATGGATAGTTTTCTCTAATGCTGATCATTAATCCCTGAGCTAGAAATTAAAAGGAGATTTTTCATGTACTAAGGCTTACTTTAATTCTTCAATTTTGAACCATTTAAAAGATTTTCAGTTGATTTTAATAGCATATTAAATGTTACTACATAAGAATTATGGAAGCATAAAAATATTACACTTGCTCTCATTAATAGCCTGAACTTTACACACTTTCTCTTTAATAAAAATGTAATATCTTAAAATATTCATTTATAAGTCAATCTAAATTATATTGCAATTTTCAATTAAACAGCTGAGATGACTCTATAAGGAAGAAGGTGTTATGGCATTACTTTATTTAAAGCAGTAGTGGTGCATATTGACGCCCCACTACTAATCCTATTAACTAACGTCCAGGGAATGTGCATATGGTTGCACAAATTTAGTGTCTTTGCTTTCACTCCTCCTCCCAACTAAACTTGTCTTCAGCAATGTTACTAAATTGGCAAGCACAACTATCTAATCAGATCTCAGTCATCATGTACTAGGATATACTCACCATATCAGAATCTATGTTATCATATCCTTTCTTGATTTCCACAGGGCCAAAAACTGATTCAGAAATAAATCCTCTTTTACATATAATTTCCATGGTTTTCAGAATGAATTGAACATTTGAAAAGATGTTTGGATAATTGCAATATAATTCTCCAGAGAAAGAAAGTGCTATTGTAAGAAAAATGATTTGTGAAAAATTTTTCATTAATATCTTGCATTGTGTTTCATTTGTCTTTTAGTTATTAAAATATAATTAAATTCAGTGCTGAGATGCTGAAACTCCTGTACATTTGCCCATCTAGTCAAGATTTATAATGTTATGTATGACCCCTGGTGGTATAATAGAAAACTGCAAGGTAAATAATTCATACGTAAGAGTAGATATAATTCAGAACAGCAATTGCATAATGGTTGAATGCCCAGTTAAGTATAGTTACTGCAAAACAATGCTTGGAAACTTCCAGCTGAAAATAAATCAAGTTATAATAGATACTCTGTTCATAATGCATACTTTGAAATTGTAATCCTACAAACAAATCAATGTCATTGCTTTTAATCCAACATTCTCCAATTTTATTCCCTTTCAAGACGTTGCTATCGATTTTTAAAAGTATATATTTTAAGTATAGCAGCAGTTATGTCATTCACCATAAGACTATGTGATATTTAAAAGAACCATCTTTGTGCTGTTCTTTTTATAAACTTTTAGACTATTTTTGAGTTTCCATCATCGACACAGTGGAAAATTAGTAACAACCACTCTTCTACTGGATGGCAATATGGTTCAGTAGCAGCTGCTGATGGCCTCAGATAAGAATCAGCCTGTTGCTGAAGATAGATAGCTAGCCTATGTAAGGCTCTACTTAGTATTTGATAAGAGGGCAAAATCTGGGGATTTTATCCTTTTATGAAACAAAGATGTTGGTCTTCTTGGGATATATCCACAATAACAAGCTAATGTGAGAACTTAAGGCTTTGTTCAAATAATTTTTCGCAATTTATTTGCTACCATCATCTGAATATGTATGAGTCACTATGCTGAACACTGTGAGGAGTTAAAAAGAGGATTTATAATGTAATGAAGAAATCAAAACAAGAGAAATGATAGACGTGAATTCTTCTTCTGCCAGTCTGTAGCCTCATCCTGGTTTCACACCCTCTCAAAACCTGCAGCAGTGCTGCATGTTGGTTAGTCTCCATAACTCTCCCACCATTACCTTCTATTCCCTCCTCCATAACCTTTTCAATCAATTATCATTCCCTTTCTGGTATCTTGAATCTCTTCATCTCTTATCCTACAACATACTAATCTTCTCTTCTTTTGACCTTGTTTTTCCATCCAAACTATTGACATATTTCTCCTTTTCTTTATAGCTAAGCTTTTTGAAATAGTTTGCCATCTCTGTCTTATACTTAAATTTTCCCTTCATTCTTTGTTTACCTCCAATCTGAATTTTGCTTCCACTTCTCCTTGTCCTTTGGGGATGCTCCGAAGATCAACAATGACTTTCTGATTGCAGAAATCCATCATCACTTTCAGACCTCCTACTATTTCATACTTCTACAGCTCTTGATAATGTGTATTTTCTTGAATGTCATCACTCTTTCCTATCTCCTTTAATTCTCCTTTACTGGAGTCTGTTACTCCAATAATTTCTTAAATGTTTATGTTCCCCACGACTCTATGCTTAGAATTAATTTCTCCCTACCACCACCCCCCACCCCCAGGTTATCTGAGCGATGTTAATACCCATGAAATGTGTCAATCCCAGGCTTCACTCATTTCCCTAGTTCTAAACTGATGTTTCCAACTGCTTACTGGGTATATATACCTGACTGACCTTAAAATTCAACATGTGCAATGTTTCTCCAAAATTCTCTCAGTTTAGAGCACCATTACCTTGACCCTATTAGCCAATATGTAAAATTTAGGATTCCTCCTGAACTCCTCACTTTCCCTTACATATAGCCTAGATCTAACTGATCCAGCGTCTTTAATCTCCTAAACATTTTTCAAAACCATTTTACTCTATCCCATTGCCATTTTAATAGTTCATATATTCAATGCCTTTTGCCTATACTAATGCCATAGCTGACAGACTCCCTGCATCCACTCTCTCCTTCCTCCAGCCCAGCAGCGACACTGCCACTAGTGTTACCTTAACAAAAGATGAATTTAACTTCCTTTAAATCCAGAGAGGCAGACACTATTATAGATGAGGAAATTGAGTCACAGACAAGGTTATATGCTTAGTTAAGTAGGAAAGTTAAAAGTAAAATCCATGCAATCTGGCCCAGAAGGAATCCTGCACTTATTACCTTTCACGAAAAATAAAATACAGCTTATGTTCTTTATAGTGATAGTTTGAGCTTCTCAAAATATAACGTAAGACATTTGTAAGTGAAGAAAATAAAAGATAGTCTACCGTATAAATATGGTTGAAGTCTAAGTAAATGTTGTTTAAAACTTTCTAGGTGACCATGCAGGAAATATATAAAAAGTCGTAAAAAGACCAAATAGCCAATCTGTCAAAAGAGAAAGAAAAAAGTATTTTTGTGTTGCATCGATAAATGTTTAAGAACCAAAAGGAAAAATAAACCATTTTGTTACAACATTTGCTTTTGATGAAACAATTTCAAATTCATTTGAGATTACGTGCTTTCAAAATAACTTTAAGACGTTTATATGAAGGTTGAAATACTGGTTCAGCCAAAAAACTTTCATAAGTTATCTCTACATTACATATAATGACCAATACTGAATGCTATTTTATTCTATGTCCTTTAGAACAGTATTTTTCAAATTGAAAGTCATGCCCCTTAAGTTAGTCGTGAAATCAACTGAGAGGGGATTTTTAAATAAACTACAAGAAAAGAGAAAACATCATAAAACACTGTGCAATTCCTTGTTTCAGTACATAAATGAGTGTGTATTATGTGTGTGCTGGAATTCAATGCAAAAGATATTTCTTCCTATGAGCCTCAGTCAAAATAGTTTGAAAAACATGGCTTTAGATAGTTTTGGGAAATACTCTGCCTGTGCATAGTATGCTGTACTAAGATCCCCATTCCCTCATGAAAAAAAAACACAACCACACAATGTCATTATTAAGTGAACCCTGTAATATCTTACTTCTGTAAAGTTTAAAATACATGTATAGCTAAAATAGTTTGTTTTACATAGACAACAGAAAATGGAAAATATGAAAAAATATAAGATATACAAGATTTCACAAAAAATGAGGAAAAATCCCACAAACTATAGAAATAAATGGAACACAAGTGCCTAACTTGCTAAATCATAAGATTATGAAGAACCAAATAAATAATAACTACCACTATATCACTATCAAGACACATGTATACCCAAATCTTAACAATGCAAGGTATTATTAGATCTACACGTAAAAAAAATATTACAACTAAAATGATGATTCTACCAAGTCTAAGTGATTCACCCAAGCTATTAAGCAAATAAGTGACATTACTGGACTTTGCAACTGAGACTGTGTGTATTTCACCAAAAGTCATGACCTTTCTATTATTGCAATGATTTCCAAATATTTTTATCACAAACTTCTACCAGTAAAATAATTCTGAGAACGCACCATCAATATTCGTAAATGTATCCATAAATTATAAACATGCACCATTTATAGACTTAAAAAGTAAATAAAAATAAAATGTTTATAAGGCATGCCCAAAGGTCTATCTCTTCATACACACCAGTTAGATATAGTACTATGCTTATCTAAGAGATCGAAATTAGATGAGAAGGAAATGGAGACTGACAGACCATTTAAAAGAATATTGCAATATTTCAAGTGAGAATATTAAAGTTAGAAATACCCATTGTTACAGAAAATGAATGAAAAAACAGTCAGAAGGGAACAGTGTAGGATTTTGTAAGGGAGCAGAGATGGATATTGAGAGAAATATTACTGAATGTTCAAAAATTTAATGTGGGACAAAATAGACAAATCCATGAGAAGCATATCAGTTTGACTAATTGCTCTATCGTCCCCCAACTTGGTCATGAGTTTCACCTGACCCAGAAGCTATCCCTAGTTAAAACTAAGCAAGGAAAAATGGTTTTAAAAGCTTTCACTTATAATATTCCGAAAGGCTAGATTTTTACTGAAAAATCTACTTTTCTATATCTCTAGGGAACTCTGGGACTTTCTTTTCTCACGCCTCCTTTGTGAACATATTCTCTCCGGAGCTTGACAACTGAGGGCTGCCCTCCTAGGCTGAAACTCCACTTGGCAATCTCTCTTTCTCTGCTCTCCCATCTTTCCTTCCTTTATTCTTTACTTTCCTTCTTTCCTTCTCTTTCTATCTCTTCTTTTCTTCATTTCTCTGATTCTGTTACCTAACTGAGAAATAGAAATGCTGAATAACATTTATTATGTGTTATATATTTTTTAGAGCATAATTTTTATATTATGGCAAAATATACATAACATAAAAGTTATCATTTTAATTATTTTTACGTGTACACTCAAGTGGCATTAAGTACATTCACAATGTTGTGCAACCATCACTACTATTTCCAGAATTTTTTTAAGTGCTATAGTTTAATAGTTGGTTATATGTTCCATCTTCTTCTACAGAACCTTGAAGAGCACTGCTTATATTTCTATATAAAATATATTAAACTATTGCTGCTTGTATGATATTCTCTACGCTTCAGTAAGTAGATTTCAATGTTAAGAAGATTTTACACTCAGAGGTAAATAACAAGGAAAGAATGAACGCAAAATCTGAAAGTAAATAATATTAGGGAATCAGATATTTCTGGCTCTTCCCAACTCTGAGCTGTATACTACTTTATCAAAGATGAACAATATGGTGCATAGGAAGGTGGATGATGTCTCCGTGGCAATACCCGTCAACATAGCATTCTGTCAAAAAGATCAAGAGGGAGTTTGCCAACTGACTGTCAGGTATATAATGGAAATTCTTCAAAGGCAAGGAGGATAATTGAAATGGCTTCTTGCTTGCAATCAAAGGTACTTATAGACCATGCTTATTGCCACTAGCTAATTTCCACTATCTAGAACAATAAAGAGTAATCTTTAAAATTAGTAAATCTGAGAGCCAATGTAAATGTGCAGCATCATGAGTGAGAGTCCACTGGACTCTAGGTTTCAAAACCTTCTCTGCTGAGACCTTGGGTAATTCATTTAAACTCCCTGTGCCACAGTCATAAAATGGTGGATACTAATAGTGTCTACCTTTTAGGATTGTTGTGAGGATTAAATAAGTTAATGTCTAATACATCTAAAGCACTGATCATTGTGCAAGGCACATAGCTAGTACTAAGTGTTTGCAATTGCTATATGAACCTGTGAAAATTGTCTAAACTTTCAGATGAGAAGATATAGGAATCTTTTAAAACTTAAATGACATGGTGTATATAAATTATAAGCAATGTGTGCAATGGCTAAAACCTTACTTGATAGTCATTTTTATTGCTGGCAGAAATATAAAAGGCAAGAAATGGGAAAAGGTCCCTAAAGGGGATGAGAAGGAAAGAGGAGAAAAGCCAGACGTGCTCTATGTTTTCCCATTCCATTTTTTTTCATTATAGAAAATATATAGCTAGATATCTATGATTACAGAGATTTTAAAAGATATGTAGATATCTTATCTTTTACGTATATCCATAATGGACAGTTTGGGAAATACAGAAAAAAGAAAGAAATGACAGTCATCATAATCTTACCACCCAAACACAGCCATTGGAAACACCTTATCTCTTTTCCTCCAGTCCTTCTTCTGTACAAAGCCTCAGTTCTTTGCATGTTCAGTTTCTATTATGTGCTGTCTGTATCTTGCCTCATCTCCACAAGTCTTTTATCCTCAAACATGTCAGAGAGGAACTGGGCTTGACTTTTTTCCCCCCTTTTTATTTATTTATTTATTTATTTATTTTTTAATTGCAGTAGTATTGGATTATAACATTATAGAGCTTTCGGATGTACATCGTAATATATTTCGAATTCTGTGTAGATTACATCATGTTCACCATCCCAAAATTAATTATAGTCCATCCCCTCACATGTGAGCCTAATCACCCCTTTTGCCCTCCCCACTTCCCCTATGGTAACCACCAATCCAATCTCCATTGCTATGTGTTTGTTTGTCGTTGTTTTCATCTTCTACTTATGAGTGAGATCGTACGGTATTTGACTTTCTCCCTCTGACTTATTTCACTCAGCATGATAGCCTCAAGGTCCATCCATGTTGTCACAAATGGCCAGATTTCATCATTTCTTATGGCTGAGTAGTATTCCATTGTGTATAAATACCACATCTTCTTTATCCATTCGTCCGTTGACAGGCACCTAGGTTACTTCCAAGTCTTGACTATTGTGTATAATGCTGCAATGAACGTAGAAGCGCAAGTATCTTTATGCCTTTGTGTTTTCAAGTTCTTTGGATAAATACCCAGCAGTGGGATAGCTGGATCATATGGTAGATCTAGTCTTAATTTTCTGAGGAAACTCCATATTGCTTTCCATAGTGGGTGCACCAGTTTGCACTCCCACCAGCAGTGTACGAGGGTTCCCTTCTCTCCACATCCTCTCCAACATTTGTTGTTTCCTGTCTTGTTAATTATAGCATTTCTGACTGGAGTGAGGTGATACCTCATTGTAGTTTGGATTTGCATTTTCCTGATAACTAATGATATTGAGCATCTTTTCATATGCCTGTTGGCCATCCGAATATCTTATTTGGAGAAATCTCTCTTCAGATCTTTTGCCCATTTTTTCATTGGGTTGTTGTTTTTTTGTTGTTAAGATGTATGAGTTCTTTGTATATTTTGGATATTAACCCCTTATCTGATATATGGTTTGCAAATATCTTCTCCCAATCGTTAGGTTGTCTTTTCGTTTTGTTGATGGTTTCCTTCGCTGTCCAGAAGCTTTTTAGTTTGATGTAGTCCCATTTGTTCATTTTTTCTTTTGTTTCCCTTGCCCGATCTGACATGGTACTTGAAAATATGCTGCTAAGACCGATGTCAAGGAGCGTACTGGCTATGTTTTCTTCTAGAAGTTTTACGGGTTTGGGTCTTACATTCAAGTCTTTAACCCATTTTGAGTTGATTTTTGTGCATGGTGTAAGGTAATGGTCTACTTTCATTCTTTTGCATGTGGCTGTCCAGTAGGCTTGACTTTTAAGGACTGAAATATGGTATCTTCCAAAAATGCCCTGACTGACACTCATGAATATTTTCATGCTTGGTTTCAAACAGTTCATAACCAAAACTAAATAAGAAAAAATACATTTTTGCAAATACCATACTTAATTTCAACTGTTATTTTGAAAATAATACCATACTTAATTTCAATTGTATATATATATGTGTGTGTGTGCATACATATATATTCTCAAAGAAATACTTCTTCTAGCATTTCTTGTCTTTCTTTGCAATAGAACCACTATGTAAGCTAAATTTCTTTGAATAATAACAAATTTTGTAGCAGACAACCATGATCATCACAGGGAGGGGAACCATATGACTTCCAGGACCTTATAAAACATGAGCTACATGAAGATAGTTTCCCATCCTATGGCTCTAAAACGATACAGAATACTGAGAGAACAACTTGTCTTCTCAAATTGAGCAACTCTTTTTTTCATTTTTTGAGGAAGACTGGCCCTGAACCAACATCTGTGCCCATCTTCTTCCACTTTATATGTGGGACACCTACCACAGCATGGCTTGCCAAGCGGTGCCATGTCCTCATCCAGGATCCGAACCGGTGAACCCTGGGCCACCGAAGCGGAACTTGCAAACTTAACCGCTGCACCACAGGGCCAGCCCAAATTGAGCAACTATTTAGAGTTACACATTGCCATTTTTAAGAGGAAAAGCTTAAAAATCCTTAAATTAGAAAATTTTAAAATCCTTGAAATAGAAAGGAGAAAAACTATACATACTCAGACATAAGTATAAACTTGATTTTTAATTAAATCTTATTTTCTTACATAGTTGGTGAAGCTATATTTTCTCAAACTATCTCCATTTGGATATCAAGCAATAATGTATTCTCCACATTTAGAGAAGACTAGAATAAACCACCCAACAAGAGAATATTTCATAATAAAACCAAATGGCCTGTTTAGATCCTAAAACAGATGTCATGTGGATACACATAGAACATGTAGCAATTAAAACATAAAAATATTTTAAAACATACCTTTGCCAGCTTTATTTCAAGTGAATATAAGTACGTCCTTAGGAATGCATCACAACAGAGTCTATATAAAACTGATTCCGCAACAAAAAATAAGGCAGGCAGATGATCATAATCAAAAGAAGCATGGTCCAGGGAAGCATAAAGCATATTTAAAGCTTCTGAAATATTAAAAAGTAGAAACTCCATAATTTATAAATCATGCTATTTTTCTACATGCTACAATTAAGTCTTGCAATTAACTATTTGCTCAGTCGCCAAGACCAGACAGGTTTTAAAACAGTTACAAGTTCTTTGACACCCTTCCCAACAAGAGGTGAAGTCTATGCTCCCTTGCCCTTGAACCTGAGCAGGCCTTGTGACTGCTTCAAACAACAGAACATGGCAGAAGTGACACTGCATGACTTCTGAGGGGTGCTTTCTTCCCAGGCATGTCTTATGGAAAAGCAATTCAACAAAAAGTACTCCAAACAGACGTGTCTTTACCTCTCTTGGTGGAAACAAGGCCATGTGAGCACCCCTAATCTAATCACTGACAAGCAAAGGGGAATCGCCATGATTAACTTAGATCAACCATGTTTCAGCCCCGGAGGCTGGGAAGGGCCAGGCCTCTTCTGAATCACGTGACTCTGCAGTCTTCACTGCCATTAAACTGAGGTTTAAGTGACAAAGAGCAGGTAGCTGTTGGTTGCTGGCAAGGCAAAAGTGTTTATTTCAATATCATTTAAACATTTAATAGAGGTCAGGCCATGGATGGCACTGCGATGAAGTGCCATAAAGGCAAGTTAAATACAAAATCCTTCTTACTCTTCCTATTGCTTGAAAACTCCCAGATAGCACTACAAAACCCAATTTACATGGGGAAATGCTTTGTGACCTTATATGGTTAACATTCTAAAACTCATTTTAAAAGGTACACACATAAAACTTAGGACAACGAGAGAAGGAATTTTACCTCCTTAAAGACAATGCTTTTTAATTTCTTTTTTAGATTGGTTGAGGGTGGTGGTTCGATAGAAGACACATAAATGAGAAGTGATCAAAGAAAGGTAATGAGTAAAACGGCTGTTTAAAATAAGTGAAAAACAAATGGCCATTTGGTTAATGTTTCATGAGTAAGAATTATAAAATGCAGAAACAAGTTTCTCTAAAGTATAGTGCCTATTGTAATTGAAAATCACTAAACGACATTTTATATTACTTTTTAATTTGTTCCTAATTTTAGAGAAAAGCAATAAAGATGATGCTGAGCAAAAGTTTTTAAAACAATTTTGTAATTAAAAAGTCGAGCAGTCAAACTCATAAATTCAAAATTACAAAAGGGACTTTCATAATGAAACATTATCAGGTATTTCAATAGAGAAAGGCAATATTTCCTTGGCTCCTGCACAATTTCTACATATTTAAAGGTCTCAAATTATGCCTTCACTGCTAATCTAGAAAACACATAAGGTAACTAAGAAGACCTTAGTTAGAGCACATACCGTCTTGGATTTCTCCTTTGCACTGAGCCAGATATACCACTTCAGTCCATGCTGTAGGAAGATGAACTTGCCTCCCAGCGCCTAAGGTTCCGAGACCCAATTTTCTCTGTTACGGGGAAGCATGAAAGAGACAAACCAAAATATGCAGCTTTTAAAAAATCAATTAATTAATTAATTTAGATTATCCCTTAGTTACATTCTGGAAGTCATTCTATGAGGCTGATGCTCTGTGGCCAGAGTTGTAGAACACTTTATAGTTTTGCTTTTATTATTTTTATTTTTTGACATTTTACGTAAACTGTATTAGTTAAAATGTAGAGAATGTTTGTCAATAGTCTGAGTAATATCATTAGTTATTTGCTGAAAATAATTCTCACTCTTTACTTTCTAGGGATTACTTCTATCCCATTTCCAAGAGAATGCATCTCTGATTTTAGAAGGAAAAGTATACTAAAGAAATGTGATTCAACAGAAATTAACTTGATGCCAATTTGCTGGAAAACTCTGGCTCCTTCACTGTGGATGGACTAAAGATAAAGCGGACAGAGGTATCAAGATTGCCCCCCTTCTCTTAATGTGACCACTCCTGGGGCTGCCCAAGGGAGAAGTTGGCCAATCGGAGAGAAGCTCATTGATGAATCTAATTTGTGGTACCTTTCAAGACTACACTTTCTGGTACACTTATCAAGAGTATATTCATTTTTCTAATCAAATTTTATCATGGTTTTTTTCAAATTTTTAAATATATGGGCAATCATGAAACAAAATACTGGGAAGTAACAACGACCACAACAAAAAAGATGGCTTAATTTATGCCCTGGTTTTGTGCAAATTTTATTTCATGAATTATTCGGTATTAAAGCAAAATTATATGTATATTATTTCTCTGCCAAACTTAAATGGGGTCTAATGTAGGAAAGGCAAAACAAGGACTTATTTCACTTCCTGTTCTGCTTTGATATGTCTTTAAAAATTTGGGAATTAATGGTATACTCTTAAAGAACTTGTTTTTACAAGTTAAGTGAATAGTTTGTTAAAGAACAGAGTACTTTGTACATGTATAATAAAGATTTAGGAAATTTTTTTTCCTCTTTGGGACACATCATATCCTAGTAAACTTTTAAGGAAAAAGTAGAATTTTCATAATCAAAAATTTATTTGTCAACCTTTGATTTTGCTGCTGGCTCTCAGGCTAGTGTTGACAGATATATTTTCTAATGATTTACGGAGATTCTTCATCCAAAAAGCCATTTGACATTGAATTATTTGGTTATAAGCTTTAACTTTAATTTGCATTAATTTTTTAACTATGCCTACTTATAATTAAAGAAAGCTGTATTCTTATTTTTTATTTCAATATCTTAGAACATATAATCACCCACCAACTAGAAGAGAAAGTTCACATACTAAGTAATCAAATAGTGTGCCATTACCTTACATCTGAGAATGTTTTTTCTAGCTTGTTCCAAAATTTCTTCCTTCTCTTTTGGATTTTTTGTTTGGTTGAATCTCCTGATGAATTCTTTTGTGACTGAAAACAATGGCCTAAACAAACAAAAAAAATCAATAATTATAGCTATCAGTTCCAAATTTTAATTAATCAACTTCCAGTGGTTAAGTGTAACTATTTCCTAAACAAGTACTTTACCTTAATAAGAATGTTTCTCTCACACACACACACAATCAGTAAAATAAAAAATATATGCACAGGCCTCCTAGATTGATCTTATCATATCCTTGGATTGAGAAACATAATTCTTACGATGTCAAAGAATTTCGTAGCCTCTGAAAAAGTTTCTAAAATGGTTGCCAGAAGTCTTGTTGGTGTAGGCCTTCTTCACAGGTAAAATCCAGCACAGCTTCAGTTATGTTGAAGACTGATGTATCTCCTCACATAAATCAGTGTTGGTTCAATTTAAGCTAAGCCTTTACTCCCTCCATGCAAGTAGAATCAGTCCAACTGTGGCTGGAGTAAAGTGAGCAGGGGAGGAAAGATGTATGTTGTAAGGTCAGAGAGGTGACAAGTAGCCAGATTAACTCTGGATGAGATGGGAGGCTATTGCAGGGCTTTGATAAGAAGAGTGGCATGATTCAATTTACATTTTAACAGGATCATTTGGATGTTGCATTGAGAGCTGGAGTGTGGGGAGATGGGATCTTGCAAGGGAGGGAGCACATGTACGCTTAGGTGAGAGTAATGGTGACTTCGATCAGGATTATAGAAATGTAAGTAAAGAGAACAGTTTGGATAATGGATATATTTTGACATTAGCTCCAACCAGACTTCCCAATGATTTAGAAATTAGGCATGAGAGAAAAAAAGGAATCATGATTGAACTGAGTAACTAGAAGGATGGAATTGCTATTTACTGACATGGGAAAGACTGCCACAGGAGCAGATTTGGGGTAAGGTTAGAGAATAAGTTCAGTATTGGACATGTTAAGTTTGAGATGACCATGGGCATCCAAGTGGAGACATAGAGTAGGCAGTTGGATATATGAGTTTGAATTTCAGGAGAAAATTTCAGGCTAGATACATCAATTTTTGATTGATTACTACATATATGGTATTTAAAGTCTTGTGAACTGAAAAGATCCCATGGGGAAAGTGTAGAGAGAGTAGACAAGTATTTCAAAGAGAAACAAGAAAAATAAGTTGAAGGTGTATGCAAGACAATGAGTAGAGTGATTATAATGATGTACCACAGAATTTATGACGCATGTGGGATCAAAAGTGACCTCGGAGGAATAGTGAATAGGTAATAGAATTAATGAGTTGTTTATTTGTGTGTCAAATAATTGTTGGAGTCATGCTATTAGAAAGAGTGATCTGCAAGAATAAAACACATTTTTAACAACTTACTATATTCATAATGTACTAAATTAGTTGTTCTGTGGGATACGGGGGAAAAAAAGAATAAAAATCAGATTTTTCCCTGAGTAACTCAGAGTCCTACTGGGGAGACAGATGTATGCAAATGTAATGACAGTACCACATGATCACAGGATAAGCAGAGGTAATGCCATGGTGCCCTGAAAACTAGAACCAAACAGACATCCCAGTGAACAATGATTAATGAAATAGCCAACTCTTAAACTGCCATCCTAAAATGGGCATTTATTCAGTAAGCTTTTATTGACTATCTCCCATATATCAGACACTAAGCTTAAAACTGGGGATACAATGGTAAAATAAACAAACAACCCCGCCCTCATGGAGCTTATAATAAAATAGAGGAAGAGTTGAAGTGTTACAACTCAGAAAGTCTGCTAGAATTGGGCATTTTGAAATGATTGACTTCATTCTTGATATCCTGTTCTCATTGTACTCTTGCTCTTGGAGATATCTGATTAGATAGATAGGGTGAAGGTTGGTTGAAAATTCTTTCTCAATAGTCACCTAGGATGACGTATCTTTGATCTACATGGACCTACTCTGCATGAAGAGTACAAAATAGCTTTAATCTTCCCATTTGTACCAAGTGCTAAGGGAATTATAAGAAAGTAGACCCTTTATCCATTTCATGTTTTATAAATTTCATTAGAAATTAGGTTTTTAAAAATATTAACATAACAGTGCTGTTTATAACAAACAAAACATACAGAGATGCATGAAGAAAAAGTTAAGAGATTGCCTCCCAACACTACTGCCTCCAATTCTACCCATCAGAAATAGCCAACACTAATGGTTTAGTGTGAGTCCTTGCATATCTTTCTCAATGCTCACAAACATTGACCAACCTATATACACTATTTTAATAAATGGAACCACATATACAACACTGCAGCATGCTTTCTTCATCAAATTTATCAGATATTCCTCAAGTTCAATTGATACTAATATGCAGTAACATGGATGTACAAATGTATCAATTCTTTTATTGACTGATATTTCCTATTACTTCTTGTATTGGCATTTCATTACTTCATGTATAATTTTTGCCACACTAAATGATGCTGTAATTTAAAAAAAAGTTCTTGTACTTCTTGTACATGGGGCCAACAGTAAACAAGTGCACACTATTCCAATTTATCAATCTCCACACTATATCGATAGTTAAATATTTTGATTACCAACTCTGCTTATAAATATATTTATATAAAGACATCATAAGAGAATTAAAAGCAAAACTTTGAGTGGTAGGACATATTTTCAACACATATAACTGACAAAGTGTTCATATCTAGAATACATAAGGAACTCCCAAACAATAGAAACATGGAGAAGAGGTTTAAACAGGTAATTCACAAAAGAAGAAATGCAGTTGGACAATAAATATGTGAAATTATTATTAACATCATAAATAGGGAAATCTAAATTAAAACCACAATGAGATGCTACTCCACACCCACCAAAATGACTAACATTTAAAAGAGGATGTGGAGTTACCAGAATTCTCACATGCTTCTTGTAGCAGTGTAAATTGGTACAACCACCTTGGTAATCAACTGAGTGTTACCTGCCAAGAAGAGAGACATACTCACTGACTTAGCAATCCCAGTGCTTAATATATACCCAATAGAGTGTGTGCACCTGTACACCAGGGGACATGTACAGAATGCTCAAATCAACACTTTTCATAAGAGCTAAAATCTGGAATCAAACCAATTCTCCATCTCATGGACCAAAAAGTGGGCTATGTCTGTGAATAAAGGTTGAACAAAACATTCTCTCCTTTCCAATGGACAAATTTAAACTTGGGTTAATTTTCTAGTTCTAGTCCCCTGAAAACCTAGTAAAAGTGGATGTCATCTGTGTTATTGGAGCCACTACTTATAGTAAAAATGACCTGATTGGTACACTACATCTGGACTAGGCGGGCTATGAATGAACTATAAATACCTGATGAAGAGAGCCTTTGGGCTTCCCAGAGTGCACGTTCTTTGAAGGAACCCATAAATCTGTTTTTAAAAAAGTCAGTGGTTTCACTTTGGGACAGCCTGTGTATCTACTGCACCAGCTCTCTGAGTCTTATGTCCTCACATGATCAATCATTTGGACGGGCTAAAGAAGACTAGCTCCTAGTCTTCACACACTATCTTATGTTGTGTGGGCTGCTATAAGAACTCTCTCAGGAGGTAAACAATTGCCACTCTGCTGGCGTGTTGAGTTTCCTGTGCTGTATCCTGCTAAATGATGTCGTCAATGGTGAGTGCAGCCTATCATAATCATATGAGTCTGTCTCGTTGAGCCTAAGAAGACCCAAGAGTGGGTATTCAGTGTTAAGGAAATAAAAATAAACAAGCTGCAGCTATAGGGGCAACATGGATGATCTCACAAACATACTATTACTCCAGACACACAAGAATACACGCTATAATATTCCATTGATATAAAGCATAAAACTGTAAAGAAAGCCAAAGGAAAGGTAGGCGAGTGCAGAATGTTATCAGGGAAAGAAGGGGATCTTTTTGGAAGGAGTTACAAAAGAGACTTCTGAAAATGATTTACTTCTTCACCTGGTGCGTACACAAGTGTTTGCTCTATAATAATTTTTAAGCTTTATATTTATTTTTATATACTCTTCCATCTGTGTGTTAACATTTTACAAAAAAAGCTTTCAAACATTAATGGCAAGATCTAAGAGTATATGTACTTTTAATTATAACACATTATTTAAAAATATTTTTAGGGGCCAGCCTGGTGGCGTAGTGGTTAAGTTCACACACTCTGCTTTGGCAGCCCAGGGTTAATGGGTTTGGATCCCAGGCACAGACCTTCACACCACTCATCAAGTCACGCTGTGGCGGCATCCCACATACAAAAATGGAGAAAGATTGGCATAGATGTTAGTTCAAGGCTAATATCTTCCTCACATACACACAAAAAAATTTAACATTCTAGTCATTCATATTCATAGTAGTAAAGCATGAAAATTCCCATTTTCCACATCCTCACCAGAACAAGATGATATCAGTTGTTTTAATTATTGCCAATTTAATTGATGAAAATAGTATTTCCCTGCGGTTTAAAGTTTGTATTTCCCTATTAGTATTATTGAGCATCTTTTCCTGTAAGAATGACTTTACATTCATTCTTACATTTTCTGTTCTGTGACGTGCATGTTTATATATTTTGTTCATTTTTTTTCTTTATTAGGATTTTTGTCTTTTTTCTATCAACTCGAGGCAATATTGTATAGTGGTCAAGGGCACAGTCCCAGGAGGTTAAGTGCACAGGCCAGACTGCCTGGGGTTTGAATCTCACTCTGTCCCTTACTAGATCTGTCACCTTAAGTGGTTTATTTAACCTATCTGTGCCTTAATGTCTCTGTCTGCAAAACGGAAAAATAAATATACATCTTTTGTGGGTTGTTTTGAAAGTTAAGTGAAATAATATATGTGTTGTACTTAGAAGAATAACAGGCACATGCTAAATACTCAATGATAACTGGCATGATTATCATATTAAAATTTTGCAGGTACTTTTATGTCAGTATAATATTTGGGTTTTTTCATTGTTATGCTAACTTTGGCCATATATTAAAATTTCATACAGTCACACACCGAATAATGACGTTTCGGTCAATGAGAGACCACATATA